CAGTGTCACATGACCTCATCATGTTGCATTGTTTTATTCATACAGTGGCTGGCAACCAGTTAACATCTCACAAATAGGATTTTTACTTTTTTTTGCACTTTTAATACAATTTTTGTGTAAAAATGTCTGTATGAGTCGTATGTTGTTCTGACCACAGCCTAGGTTTGATTGCAGGTCATTTTTGTCGCCCCCGTCTCTTCAGCTGTGTGTTGCAGGTCAGTGTCCTGTTGCAAGCGATTTTGTGCATTGCATCACATTTGGCCACAGGGTTTAGCTGTAATTAGCCCATAATTTCCTGCACTCATGAATCTCCAGAGCTTGACAGTCCCATCATGCTCCACTGTAAGGATAGTTCTCAGCACTCAGTGTGTTTGGTTTGCACCGCACATGACATGTTGCACTGTGGTTCAATGCAGGTATCATCAATCCTCCTCTGTAGGGTCTCATGTTGTCACCGTGTCCAGCTTGCTGTTGGGAAACTCCAGTTGAAATGTGATGCTTTTTTTTTCAGTCAGATTTATGAAGTGTGTGCGTGTTTGTGCCGCTGGTGTTTCACACACGGTTTCTCCATCTCTGTCACTGAGGACTGCAGGTCTTGCCGAGGTCTCATACCGAGGATTTTGTTGACTGATGAGTCAGACTAGCTGAAGTTCTGGGCAGTTTTTTTTTTTTAATTCACAGCTTTTTTCTTTTGAAGAACTGCACTTAATCGTAATCAGTGTGCACATCAAATTACTTCAAGTATATTTTAAAACTTGTACTTTCAGATGATAATAAATCAGTTGAATATAAGTCCACTTTCATGATTGTTTCTTATTTCACATGGAAGTACACTTAATGACAAAATAAAAGTTTTACTTAAAAGATAATGAATTCAAATGTGCTTTGTAAGTACACTTATTATGATGTGTTGTGTTAACATAGCCTACTAAAGCACATGTAATGTATTTGATTATTCTAACTGTATGCGTTATTTTAAATGCACTAAATTGCAACTTCGTCATTACAAATGTGCAATTACGAATATATTTAAATGATATATGATATACAAGTTTCAGTCGAAATAACATAAAAGTATATTCTAGTTTACCATAAATGCTTGTCAGTACATTCAGCAGTAACACTTTACCAAAAGGCCTATTTCAAAGATAATAGAATTATGAAATTACATATAAAGATGTACTTAAGCCCTACTTAAGTGGGTCAAAAACACTCTAAAGCAGTGGTCTTCAAACCCGACCCACCCGAGGGTCACGAGACTTAAAAAATGGGTCGCCAGGATGATGCAAGGAAAATCTATATAGGTATGTAACAAAGTTCAAGACTGTAACTTTAACAAAATAAACAACAAAATGAAAGTAAGCGACAGCCACCTCACGGCAGACTCCATCTGTCTCTATGTTTGCGTTTTGGAGAGCTTCAAAGGTTTCTAATTACGTGCTTTTACAGCATTGAGCATTGTAGCCAATCACAGATGTACCTGGTGATTTCTTGAACGCAATGACCAATCAGAGGTGTTTCAGAATCAACGTAGTCAGAATCCACTAACCAATCAAATGATGGAGTTTTTTTCAGTCCTAAATTCTAGGAGCAGTCCTAGAGTCTCATTATAACAAACAAAGTGCAGACACGATGTGAATAAAAGATTTATTGTGCAGTGAGTGTCGAGAGATTCATTGATTATAACAGAATTTTCTGAGATCGCAATAAACCGAAATGAGTGACCGCTCAGTGATTATTAAGGGAGCGCTGTTTGCACGCTACCTTGGGTATAATCCATTCAGAATTTGAAGAAAAGTTATTTATATATATATATGTGTATGGGTCATGTGACGTCAATAAAAAAATAAAAATAGGGTCGCCCTCAAAAAAGTTTGAAGACCACTGCTCTAAAGTTAAACTAATTGCATTTAATATCAATTTAAACTATAATACATTCTTTTTAAGGGTTCTACTGACGGATCCAGCTGTAATGCTGTGTTTCCCCCCCAAACAGAGGCTTTTCTTGTGTTGCCCTTTCAAACACGCCAGATTGATGAAGCGTGTATTATTGATGTTTCATACACAGTTTCTCCATCTCCGTCAGGAGACTGGAGCTCCTTTAACACTGCCGTAGGTCTCATGGTGAGGTCTCTCAGTTGCTCTTAGTTTTGTGGGAGTTCTGGGCAAATTCACAGTATTTCTCCAACTCTGTATTTGGAGGAAGCCTTGGACGTTTGCCTTTTTTATATTTGGAACATTTCTTGGTGCACAGATGGTATATATATTATTGCATGCTCTCTGAACACATGTTGATGCAGATCTACTAATGATGATCAAGTAGGTGGTCCAAAGCAAACAAGGTCATTGCAATCGTTGTTGGTCTTCTTTGTAAATTACTTTTATAAATGTCTGGGTTGTTTTAACTTTGACATTGTATGAACACGAGTTCTCCAGGGAGCAGTTAGTAGTTCTCATTTACTCAGACTTTATTCCAGTGTTGCTCTGGTCTAGTGATGAGGAAAGATCCAGGTGGGAATGTTGACTTTGTGTCTAGATGAGATTACGAGTAGATTTGTTCCCAGTATGAGCTGCTCCGGGTTTGGCTCGGCCCTCTGATTTGCCTCAGATGGAAGCTCTTTTTCTAGATTCACACAGTAGTTGCTCTTAAATACAGGGACACAGATTTCACACCATCTGAAAGTCACTGAACTCAAAATATATTGTTTTAAGGATACATTAACATGATCTGGTTAATCAAATGGTTTACTGTAATTCTTGCTGGTCAGCATGTTTGGACAGCCAATGTGCTCCCCTTCAGGCCATGCAAGATGTAGAGGTGTTTGCTGCTTCATCAAATTTGGAAAAAAAATTAGCATTGCAGCACTTGCTCACCAATGGATCCTCTGCAGTGAATAAAAACGTCACAATCATCAAAGTAATTCACACGACTCTAGTCCAATTAACATCTCATGAAGCCAAAAGCTGCGTGCTTGTAAGAAACACATCTATCATTTAAAAAGTTTTAAACTTTAAACCATTGCTTGTGGCTAAAATACAAGTCCATAATAAGGCTTCCTCCAGTGAAAAAGTGGTCTGGTCTGAATCAGGAGAGAAATATGCACAGATCAAGCAAGCCCCCCAAAAAAGCTTTAAACAAGGTCTTACATGATATATTTGTTTCTTATATGCACACACCTTTTGGCTTCACAAGATGTTAGCTGATGGACTGGAGTGGTGTGGATTATTTATTGATTATTGTGATGTTTTTATCAGCTGTTGGGACTCTCATTCTGACGGCACCCATTCACTGCAGATGATCCATTGGTGAGCAAGTGATGCAATGCTACATTTCTCCAAATCTGTTCCCATGAAGAAACAAACTCTTTATTTTTGGGTGAACTATGCCTTAAAGGAGTGATAGAGCTCACAGTGGACAGAGGCTCAGTCTGGTAGAGTCAGATGTCAACGGTACAGACACCGAACACACGTTACTCTGTTTATTCCTCCATGAAACATTCATGGCTGCCCTCCTCTGTTGATAAATTTGCTGCAGGAGAGCGTGAGATTTCTGGGGGGAAGTTTCTCTCAAACCTAGTTGAAGTGCAGGCAGCAGTCGATGTTCACTGGGTCTCTTGTGCTGGGATTCGCTTCAGCTCATCTTTACCCTGCTACACTCCATGAAGTCTTGACTCACGACCCATCAGGGTTATTATTGTTCATGAAAACTAAAACTGAAACTAAAAATAAAACCATTTTAAAACATTGTTACTTAAAGAAAAAAAAACTTAAGCAACATTAATCATTTTAGTTTTTTCTTTATGTACTGAAATAACTAAAATAAAGTGTCGAATTTCAGACACTTCAGGCATTAAACTGCTGCAGCTTTACTTAATGCAGTGCAGGCTCTTTTACTGACTGACAAAAGAATGTCATAAAGTTCATACATTAGATACATTAAAGTATAAGTGCATACTGTATAGTGCATCATTTGCACAGAACTTTATTTTGGTTGTAAACTGTTACCGCAATAAAGCAGGAAGCACGAGGTAAAACGTGGGCTGGACCAGCAGCTGGACTTCCACTCCACACTCCAGCGCGTCTGTATGTCTGCAAAACAGTAACAGCACTACCAGACCAGCACAAATGTTTATAGTGCGTGATTTCTGGGCTTCCTAATCACAGGAAAAGTGCCTGTGGGAATTTCTGCCGCCTGGATCAGATTGTGTCTCATTTACTCCAGCTATATGCTGCTGTACTCCGGCGGATCTCAAACCCACCGCTCTGCGCATTCTCTACGTCTTCCTTATTTACACACCCGATTCTGATCATCAGCTTGTTAAGAAAGAGCTGCATGAACTGAACCAGATAAGAAACTTGAGAAATCCAGTGCTGTGGATCACTGAACCAGGATTGAATCGCTGAATTGTGCTTTTTATCTGTGGCTGTAGTTTGAGTGAAGCTCCTACAGTTACATAAGAATACTTTCCGAATCACAATCACCCAGTACACTCAAGATTGGTATAGTATACTAGCATTTTATGAAGAGTGTTGTTTATCCATGCAAAAGTCATCGTCACGATGCTAAGGTGCAGTGGGTGGCTGCTAGGGCATTGCTAGTGGATTGCTGTATAAAAATAAATATCTAATTTATAAATATATTGTCTATATGCATTTACAGTTATATATATATATATATATATATATATATATATTTTTTTTAATAAATGCAAAACAAGTTCTGAATATATTTGATCATTTTTGGACAATTGGACAAATACAGAAAAAAGAGAAGCAAGGAAAGAAAATGGTTTTTAAATGTTTCGGTATGGGTTGAGTAATTTCATATTGGTGCATCTCTAATATGTATGTATTATATATTTAAAGCTACAAAAAAAGACATCTACAACATAAAGCCTATTTGCAATTGGTTTAAAAAAACAAATTTGACAAAGCTCATTTTTTGTACCAAATGTGCTCAAACATTAAATTCAAAAACTTCCGTTCTTGTATTTTCACAGGAAAAACACATAATGTTAGAACTAAACGTGACTGTGGCAAACCCATCGGTGGTGATCATCACCTCCAGCAACGCACAAACCATCCTGCTTCAAGACAATCCCACAGTGAACATCTATGTAAGTACCAATGCATTGTGTTTTCATTTGTAAATCCCACTAAAAATAACACATGTTGTGCATGCAGAGGACGCATCCAGATCTACATTTGTGGACGAGTTTTCAGCACAAAGACGCTTGCATCCACTTTATATTTAACAGTGAGTCGCATGGGAGCCGTTGGCAGGTGTCTGACAATAAAAGCAGCTACAGCTGCACACTTTCAGCTCTGTTTTGAGAGGCAATTAACCTTGTTTGTTTAGCCCGTGACCCCATGAGAATTTGCAAACAGATTTAACTAGTGTCGAATATGGATGTGCCAAAGCTCTCGAAACAAAACGGCCCAGTTTGTTTTCTTCAATTTGTTCTTTCCACCACTGAACCTTGTTAACCTTAATTAGATTGCTGTGGAACAAAGCGCATTACAGTGCAAACCGAAAGGGAGCACACGTTAATATCCTTGCAAGGAGGGGAAATTCAGCTCCGCCCCAAATGTGACTGAATCCTGAGCCAGACTGCGAGTTAGTAAAAATGCAGTATGTTATGATGGCCTGGGGGAGACACGCGATGTCTTGAGTCTGGAGAAACAGCATCTGTTGTTCTTGAGCACTGTTATCAATGAGACGTGGTCAGGCCTGGTCAGAGAATCACTCCTGACCGTTTGCAACACCAGCCTCAATCCATCCCTACCCCAAAATTCACATAAATGTTACCTTTCATTGGAGAATACGAATTTAAAATGGGGGGAAATATCATTGACATAAATGTTTTTCTCTAATACACATTGGACACAATTAACGGCACCCTTTTATTCAATGCTTTTTGAAACCTCCATTTGGCATAATAACAGCTCTGCGTTTTCTGCTATAATGCCTGATGAGGTTAGAGAGCACCTGACAAGAGATCAGAGACATTCCTTCATCCAGAATCTCTCCAGACCCTTCAGATTCCCAGCTCCATGATGGTGCTTCTCCTCTTCAGTTCACCACACATTTTCTATAGGGTTCAAGTCAGGGAACTGGGATGGCCATAGCAGAAGCTTGGTTTTGTGCCCAGTGACCCATTTTTGTGTTGTTTTTAAAGTTTGTTTTTGGATTATAATTTACTTCAGGAAAGTTATCCAGTGTTAGCTATATGCTATATATATATAGCTTATTTACTGTTAATTATATATGTATGTATGAATAAATCTGTCATTAACAAGTTTTTATGAAAACTACCTCAAACGTTTTTGAGTGTGATTTATTATATCTGAAAATAAATAGCATTGAATATAATAGTTGTGTTGTACATTTTAACCTCTAATGTACCAAATGAGAGGGATCCCTGTATAGTAGTTTTTTTTTTCCCTTAAGAAATCCAAACTATCGGCAGATATCATTCTGAATAATCGGCTATCGGTATGGGTTGAGTAATTTCATATTGGTGCATCTCTAATATGTATGTATTATATATTTAAAGCTACAAAAAAAGACATCTACAACATAAAGCCTATTTGCAATTGGTTTAAAAAAACAAATTTGACAAAGCTCATTTTTTGTACCAAATGTGCTCAAATTTTCTTTTCTTGACTTTTTTTTCCTTCTTGAAACCCTTCCAAACAACATGTGGTGTAGGTGCTGTTTGATTTTTTTTTTTTTTAGGTTTTCTGACCCTGAGACTATTTTCTGCAATTCTCCAGCCGTGGTCCTTGGAGAGTCTTTAGCCTCTCAAACTCTCCTCCTCACCGTGCATTAGGATGATATAGACACATGTCCTCTTCCAGGCAGATTTGTAACATTTTCTGTTGATTGGAAATTCTTAATTATTGCCCTGATGGT